TAAACTCTAAGTTTTCCAAAATTCTCAGAAACCAGGCTTCCAATACTTCCTTTGTAAAGGGAAAAATGAAAATAAAAAAGTTTTGGAGGGAAAATGTTCTATGCAACCATGGAGAAGCCCCTCTGCCAGGAGTTCTTGTGCTGCTGAATGAGGGCAGAGGACTTTTGGGTGAGGTGTATGCCTCACCCAAGCCATAGGATGTTGGTGGCTGTGTGCATCCCCCCCTCCCCTCCCAGTGTAGCTCATCTTGGTTTAGGTTTAGACTGGGTTTTAGGAAAAAATTCTTAATATAAAGAAGCTGTCCAGAGCAGTGGTGGAGTCCCCATCCCTGGAGAGATTTAAGCCATGTAGATGTGGCACTTGGGGATGTGGGTTAGTGGTGGGCTTGGCAGTGCTGGGCTCGATAATCTTGGGGGCTTTTCCACCCCAAATGATGCCATGATTGATCCCTCATCCTCCTCTGAGCTGCAGACTGGAGAACTGCAGCCAAGTGTGTCACTTTTGGTGCAGTGCAAATGGGAACTAAGAGCAGTGGGAACCTCTTTATATGGAAAAACCTCTATTTCTTAGCCTGCTTGCAGAAACTCCAAAACTCCCAGCATGTGCTTCCCTTCCAACTTCTCCCCATCCCTGCCCTCACCTCCCTGCCTCCCTCTCCCCGCTGAGGTGAAGCGACTCCACTGTAAATCTATTCAAATATTCATGCAGAAGACTGAAGCCCAGCACTGAAAAGCATGGCCCAGAGAGAGAGGTCATTTGTCTGCAGAGTTCAATCAATACCCTGCTGAATCACCCTGCCAATTGCATTGGCTGCCGGGGAGAGGGAGCTCCGTGCAGCTGCTGGGATCTCTCAATGTTCGCTGCTGCAGGAGCAGGCAGTGCCCATCTGCAGCTGGCCAGCTGTTCTAGGGACTCCACGCTGGCAGAAAAGCCAGGAGAGCTTCAGGCCCGTGGTCTGACCTTCAGCTGGAGGACAGCCCTGTTTCTGGCTCTCCAGTGGGAAAGGCAGCCTTTTCAACCCTGCCTGATGGGTTCATGCAGCCACCCAGCCCCTCTGGGACCATGGAGCAGGTCCTCCCCTTCTAGGTGGGGTTACTTTGTCCCTTGTGTCACCCTCTGCCCTGTGGGTGCTGCTGCAGCATCCTCAGTCCTGGGCAAGCCCAGGCCTCTCCATTTCCTTTTCTCCAGACTTCCAGGTCCATGTCTGGGCCTCCTCACAGTGAGGGGAGGGGGTTTTTAGCCTTCCCCCCCCCCCCACCCCGAGGTATTTTCTAGGCTGTTATCTCCTTTAATTGTGACTTGGCTGAGCAATGCTCGGAGCTCGCTCTGGGTTTCAGGTTTTCTGGGAATGGCCTGCCACGAGCTCGATGAAACCCAGATGCAGGGCCAATGGAGAGGAAAGGATTCCTTCCCTGCTCCACGTACTGGGGGCTGCCTCTTGCCTTGCTGTGTGCCACCTCCAGGCCCATCCATCAGCGTGTCTCTAGGAGCAGAGGGGATGCTTGGGGCAGGATCAGAGGGAAGGGATGCTCTGCCTCGCACAGCCAGGGTTTCCCTGGCTCAGGTTCATGCTTGGAAGTCTTGGAAGCATGATTTGGAGCTGCTTTCCTGCACCTAGAACAGGGTCCCCAGGGAATGGTCATGCTCTCAAGGCTGCCAGAACTCAAGGAGCTTTTGGGCCATGTCTCAGGGATGGGATTGTTGGGGTGGACTCCGTCCTTGTTGTTCCTTTCCAGGAAGGATTGCCATGGTTGACCAGGTGTAAGTTGGGCCTTGAGCTCAGCTGGGGTGGTGGCACTGAAGGATATGAGAATCCCTCATTTTTCCTCTCCTTTCAAGGAAAGCAGCCTAATTAAGTTTCCTAACATCTAATTAGTTTTCACTGATTCCTCACAAATAGTTGTCAGCAGTGCAGAGGGCTGTTAAGTTATTCCCTGTTCCAAGGCTTGTGGAAGGGGGAGGAACCTCTCTGCTCCCTTCAGCAGGACCTTCCCAAGCCATGGCACCCTTGCTGTTGACTTTGTTCAAGGATTTGTCTCCCTCACTTTACAAAACTGGGATGAATATCACCCCAAAAAAGCTTTTTTTTTTTTTTTTGGCTATTAATCTTTCCTAATAGGAGGAAGGTTTTGAACCACCTTCTAAAACCTGACTTTATGTGCAGAGGCTGAGAGAGCAAAGCCAGACCTGGAGTTCTGGGAACCTCCTCACTGCCAGGGTCTGAGGCCCTGCTGATGGCTGGGGTTGATCCAGAATCCCTTTAAACTGGATCTAAAAATGTGCCTGTTATGGGGCAGGGTTGGGAGGTTTTGGAGCAGCTGAGGGAGCTGGGGAGGGGCTCAGCTTGGAGAACAGGAGGCTCAGGGGGGACCTTGTGGCTCTGCACAGCTCCTGGCAGGAGTGGGATGGTCGGGCTCTGCTCCAGGGAACAGGGACAGGAGGAGAGGGAATGGGCTCAAGCTGTGCTCATAAAGGGGAGGTTTAGATTGGGCAGCAGGAAGGATTTCTCCATGGAAAGGGTGGTCAGGCCTTGGAAGGGCTGTCCAGGGTAGTGGAGTCCCCATCCCTGGAGGTGCTCAAAAGGCACTTGGATGTTGCCATGGGGATGTGGTTTTGTGGTGGCTTTGGTACTGCTTGGGGGACAGTTGGACTTAATGATCTTGGAGGTCTTTTCCAGCCTTATCAATTCCATAATTCTTTATTGGTTTAGGAGAAAAGCATAATTTGTGTTCCTAAGCACAGGACAATCCTTTTCTGGCTCTGCTGGTCCTGAAAGTGCCTGGGCTCCCTCCTGCACCTGAGGCCTCTCTGGACTGTGCTGATTTAAATGGGGAACTCGCTCTCCTGGCAAGTCATTGTGGCATGAACCAGCTGCCTGCTCCCCTGCCTGGGCATCACCCCCTTCCCTGAGCTCGGAATGCTCAGCCACTGTGGAGACACTTCCCTGGCAGGCACAGCCACGCCTGTCAGTGTGAGTGTCTTTGCTGTCTCCTCGGATTAGGCACTGAGCACAGGAGCTGGATGCAGGCAGCCCGCTGGCAGAGAGACAAACTGAGCTGGCTGGCCCTGCTTTTGGGGCTTCAGTTTTCCGGGATCGCTCTGAGCCCTGGAGATTTTACATCCCTGTTCCTTATGGGTCTCCCTAGGCTAGAGCCTGTGACAAACCCAGCCGTGGCCACCGTAGGGGACCAGGGTGGACCACGGGAAGAGGTGGCTGCTACCAGCAGGGAAAATCCCCTTTGCCATAATCTCACACCTCCCGGGCTATCCTAACAAAGCCCTGCTCAGGGGAGCACAAACCCACCCTTTCCTGGGTTTACTTGGACTTGCTTTCCTCAATTCCTTCTTTGTTTTTCGTTCCTGAGCTGTAAGGCAGGCAAAAAAGGAGCTGGAACCAGGACCCCTGGAGGCAAGGAAGCTATTGTCCTGAAAACAAAGGAACTTTTCCTAACGTGCACAGAAACAATAGGAAGTGCCCCAGAGTCTTTACTTCATCCTGGACTGGGCTTCCTGATGTTTTCCAGGATGCTTCTCTGGTCTGGCCTAGCCAGAAACTGCAAACTACTGTTCCCTCTCACCAATCCAAAAAAGTGCTGCTGCTGCTTGACTCAGGAGCAGGAAAGCAGAGCTGGTGCAGCAGCTTTCTCCTCAACAGGTGAGAAATGGTGCCAGTCGCTTGGATTATGCAGAAATCTTTCAGGACTTCCCTCTACCCTCACCAGCATCTTTAGAAGTTGCTGTGTTTCATTTTCGGGGGGGAGAGGAGTAGAAGGAAAGGAACTCCTGAGCCCTGCTGACTGGTTAAAACCCCAGTGGAATGATTTTCCATGCAGTGTCACCTACTCAGCTTCTCCCTCTGTACCTCAGACTGACCCGAGAGGTGCCCAGAGATGCCCAGGGGCTGGAGACCACCTTCACTTGGCAGCAGACACAGGCTCAGAGCTGCTGGAAGCCTTCTGGGGTGCTCCAGAGTCAGAACTGAAAATGGATGCAGACATTGCCACTGCCTGCTCACGTTTTCCCAGCAATCCCAAACTGAAGAGTTTTTTTTTTTTCTTTCCTTTCCTAGGAGATATTGGCATTCCTCCAAGCACGGAGGGACCAGATGGAGCAGTAACACAGCTAAAACTGGGCGGGGGGGAGGAGGGGAAGGGAGTATCTGTTAAGGAGTTGGCTTGAAAATAAGATCATGGAAACCAGCTGTTGCTTCAAGAAAGGGTTTTGTTACTTATTCTAGAAGAGAACAGGATAGGATGTAAAAAGCCAGTCCTGAAGACCAGATGTGTTTGGGCTGCATTTTGGGAGGTTAGGAGGTCAAATGCAGAGACACTGAGCAGTGTAGGGGAATCTCTCTGCTGCAAAGCACAGCAGCTCGCTGGCTTTCTCTTTTGGGCTGCTTTGGGGGGCTCAGACAGGCAACATTTCCACCTCCAAAACCTCCAGCACTCAGAACTATTAATTCCTCCTGACACATCTTCCCTGACGTGTCACTGGAGCCACCCTCCCGTGGATCAGCTCCCTGTGATGCAGATCTGGGAAGACACATCCTTAGGTAACCATTTATGTAAGTGCCCGCCGTGGGTTTGTGTTGAGGTTCCACAGCTCTGAGAGCCCCGAGGCATCTCTGACCCATGGCAAACACCCCGTTTATCTCCTGGCCCAGCACCCCGCAGTGGACATTGCCCTGACCTCCTTGCAGCAGCTCTGCCTCCCATTTTCGGGCCAGGTACTGGATTTTCGGGATTGCCACGGAGATGGAGGCCAGTGTGACAGGCGTCAGGCAAACAACATGAGACAGTGTGTCCTGGGGGACTCGGGATAAACTTCACGCTCTGAAAGGCATCCCGGGCACAGAATTCCCATTAACACCATCCAATGGTGCCGCTGTGTAGTGCTTTGAAAACTGATCTCACACTTAGGAGTGGGGTTGAGAGCGGGGAGGGACAAAAACCAGCCGGGATCAGGGCACAGAGAGAGGCATTGCTGCTCCATGAGTGCAGGAAATGGCCTGGCAGCAGAGGTATTTTCTGAATCCGTGCCTCAGCTGCTGTTGCAGGAGCACCCCAGGAATTCCTCTCCTTCTCTCCTTTCCCTGATGCCCTGGTGTGTTTTATGCAGGATTTTCTACATGGATATGTGGCGAGTGACTCTGGGCCACGATGCCAGGAGGGATTTGGGCTTGGAGCAGACATGGAGGATGCCATGTTCCTCTTTGGATGGCCACAAAATCCCGGCAGATCACAGGTACGGGGAGCAAAGCTCCAGCTCAGCACACAACACGTTCCTTATGTAATTGTGCTGTGGTGGCCATTGGCACAGGAGCTGGGATTTATGTCCCGGCAAAATGTCTGAAACAGTGAGTGCAGGAATTCGGTCTCCTTGGTGATGGAACCAACCAATGGAAAACGCGCACACACACCAAAAAAACGAATCTAAACCCATCCGTGGACTTTGCTTTTATTTTCAAAGTGGAGGACAGTGAATCAGGCTGGCCTGTGGCTATGAGCAGGATGTAAATGTGCCTGGCATGGCTCTGGACTTCACCCAGGCCATCCCAAATCAGGCTCAGCTATCCCAGGAGCTTCTGTGGAGAGGAGAATTAGGATTAAAAAGTCGGGTGCCTGTAACGATAGACCTTCCTGGAACACTGCGCACTGTCCTTACCACACAGTCTCCCCTCCAACCTCCCAAAAATGGTGCTGAGTTTAAGTAGTTCCTGCCTTCCCTGCCAAGCCCCAGATTAAACCCAGCATTAATAAAAATTAAACTGCCTGTGTTAACACACCAGGTGGAGAAAAACAGCCACCACTGGAGCATCCCCTTCCAGAGACACATGAGCTGCTGTGATCCACAGCAAAGAGGGAGCTGCTCTCCTTCAAAGCCATCTGAGCCTCTCAGGGAGGAGTCAGAGTTTGGGACAGCAGACACATCATCTCCCCAGCCTGGTGCAGCCATGTAGGGTCAGGCCACCCTGGCTTTGGGCAGTTGCAGGAGAGGCTGGATGGCAAATCCATGGTTTTATGGATTGGTTCTGGTGGTCTCTTACCAGCACAGGGTTTGCCAAGTGGCAGCGAGGAGTCTTGGACATTTCCGTGGTGGTTGAGAGCATCTCAGTGATGGGTTTGGCTCATGGTGCTGCTGGTTGGACACGGAGGGGTCGAGAGTAAGGGGCAGGTTTTGGAGCAAAGCACTTCAACAACGTTTCTGCCATCCTGGATGTTGGTTGTCCTTGGATCTGGTGCTCTTGATTTAGAAGCTGCAAGAGCCAGGAAAGCTCAGTGTTTTCCAGAAGTGGCCACATCTTCCCACCACTGGTGGGCTGAGAGTCACCCATGTGCCTGGGGAGCAGTACCGTGTCCCCAGCTGGATCTCCTGCCTTGACAAGGCCAAACCAAACATCATCTGCCTCAGCTGAACAGGCTGGAGAGGATGATTAGGCTTCCCAGATGAAAAGTTTCCCACAGAAAATATCGGAGCCCCGTTTTCTTTTTGCTTAATGAACGTTGTGACCCTCACTCCCCAAGTTATTCCAGCAATGCCCCAGGATCCTAATTAAGGCTGAGCCCAGCAGCTCTTGGCATTGTGTAAATACATAGGAAGACTCCAGCCCTTCTCTAGGAAGCTTCTCATCCAGTTTGGTTTAGGCAAATGCATGCATTAAAACTCTCCTCTTTTTTTTCCCCTTAACTTTTTCAGCAGCCCCACAATGGAGGCCTTCATCTCTACCTCTTGTGTGTATTCCAGTGTCATGCCCTCTGCTTTCAAAGGCTTAGGTTTGCCTTTAATTGTGTTGAGAGCCTTTGTCTCTAAGCCTTTAATAATGGATTTTTTTTCTCCTCTGCCAAAAGAGGAATTTTGTTTCTTTGCTGGCTTTTCTGCTAAAGCTGAAGTGACAGTTCCCTCTTCTCGGTGAGATTTACAAAGCTTATCTTTTAATTTTCAAGAGCCAAACAGCAGAGGGGGGGAAGGAATGAAACGTCATCATGGCTTTTAAACACTGTTGCTAGGAGAAGGCTTAATGATCTGGAAATAAATAAACTGCATGCTCAGGGGCTGCTTCGATTTAGTGACACCAAACTGCTGCTCCTAGTGGGGACAAGGATGGAGCCAAAGCTGGCACATCCAGATAGCTCTTTCTTCTGGGCACAGTCAGGATGGAATCCTGGAATGGTTTGGGTTGGAAGAGACCTTAAAGATCATCCATTCCACCCCCTTGCCATGGAACATCTTCCACCATCCCATATTGCTCCTAGCCCCAATGTCCAACCTGGCCTTGGGCACTTCCAGGGATCCAGGGGCAGTCACAGCTGCTCTGGGCACCCTGGGCCAGGACCTGCCCACCCTCCCAGGGAACAATTCCTTCCCATGAATGTGGCAGGAAACTGAGGCACCAGGAAGGAAATAACCCGTGTTCAGCTTGAGGGATGATTTGAGCTCATGTTCAAGGATTTGAAATTAAGAAGCCAAGAGGAATGTTGTGTTTCTTCTCCACTGAACTCAGCGTCATGTTGCACCTCACGGTGGGCAGGATTTGCTCAGCTCTGGGGTGGGGACAGCCCTGGGGTTGCCATCAAGGCTCTGTGGGATGAGGTGGGACAGGAGGCTCTTCAAATCTTTTCTAGCCATGCCCAGCCCATGGTGGTTGTGCAGGAATGAACAGTGACTTACCCCAACTGGGCTGGTGCTAGAGCAGGTCTGAAGTTGAGAGTAGAATTTGCTCCATGTTGTTTTTGTTTGTTTGTTTGTTTGTTTGTTTTGTGTGCTTTTGTTTGTTTGGGGGGGTTTGTTTGTTTTGTGGGGGTTTTTTTGGTTTTTTTTTGAGTGTGAAAACTCAGCTAGTTTGTGGTCACTGCAGTGGGACAGCTAGGCTTGAAATGAGTTCCAGCAGAGAAAAAGAAGTTTTCCAGCTGATTCCAGTGGTGGTGTACTTCATCCCTCAGGACTGCCATCCTCAGCCTCAGGGATGAAGGACTGGTGGAGCAGAGCATTCCAGCTCCCTCGCAAGGATCCCAGGGATCATAAAGGCATAAATCATTGGGCAAACCGAGTACTGTAACTATTGTGACTGTTGAGGAAAATAGGCTTCCCAGAAGATGCCTTTCACTTTAATTATGAAATAAGTAAGGAAGCAGCCTTCTGTCTGGCTGAGCTGGCAGCTCAGGAACAGATCCAAGGGAAGCCAACCTAGCTGTAAGCTTTCCAGCCTGTTTGCTCCTCCTCTGGAGCACCCTGGGAGTGGGATCTCTGCAGGAAGCAGAGGGATAGGCACTGCTGAGTGCCCTGCTTGTCCTTGGATGAGCACAGCATGGCCCAGACCCCTCTGCCTTCAGGAGCTGGGGCTTCCTGCGGTCCAGCAGATTTCTCCAGGCTCAAGTCACTTCCACTCAGGCAGCATTTGTGGAAAATGAGCTCAGGATCCTGTGGTGAGAGGTTCCTCACATCAGGAGCAAACAGGAGGAGGCCTGTCTGCAGGCAGAGGATGCCAGGGCTGGGAGGTCCAAGGCACAAACTGTTGTCCTGGCAGGAGTGTCCCTGGGAGCTGGATCTGTGTTGGAAGGGCAGCCGGCGATGACAGACCAGGTGGGGGTGCTAACAGGCCACAGGACACCCCACCCTCCTGCCAACCCATCAATAGCTTCATTTGGGTGGCTCCAGCTCTTTATTCCACCTCCCTTTCCAAGTGGGAAGCACGGAGGGGCTGTGTGTCAGAGCCTGTGCTGTCCCTCTGGCTCGGTGGCACTGCAGCCGCAGGGCTGTTCTTGCTGAGCTCGGTGTGTTCACCCTTGCTGGGGTACCAAAATGCTTCCATGCCTCTGGGAAGGGGGGATGAGAGCTGGGGTGGCTTGGATGGGAACATCACCCTCCCAGCCACTGCCTGATGCAGCACCATATCCCCTCTGTCATGGAAAAAGTGAAGATTTTAACCCCAAAATACCCAAAATAGACATTTCAACAAAATTACTTTTTTTTACTTTTTTTTTTTTTTTTTTTTTTTAAGCATCTGAAAGCTGCTGCTCTCATATCAGGCAGAGGGAGCTCATTCTGAAACCCCTGGAGCTGCCGTGTGGAATGGGATCATCCTGCCAGGGAGATCCAGCACCCACCTGCTGTTGGATTAAGCTCTTTTCTGATCCAGAGATGGGGCAACTGAGAGGTGTTTAAAAACCTTTTATTCCATTTTCAGTTTCATGTGAAGGGTGAGACAATACAGATGTTACAATTCATTGTATTACTATTAGAAGTTAACTATTTCCTAATTACAAAACAATATAGGCGTTTCTTGGTCTATCAGCTTTAGCTACACTGTGTTGTAAATGCCTTAAAACCAATAATCTAAAATTACTCTTCATGAGTCCTACTACAATGTATCTTTCGTGGTTCTTTCATGGTTCTTTCATAGTTCTTTCTTTCTCCTGTAAGCACTAGATACTTCTTTAAAGTATCTAGTCTTATTTGCAAGGCCATCCTTTGAAACTTGCTTCTAGTTCAATTTCTCAACAATGTTTCTTCAACAAAGTTTGTCTAATTCTATGGTATTTTAAGAAATTTTGAAGTTATTTTTTAATCTCAAGGTTTGTATACAGATGTATAGCACATGAGCCTTCTGTCAGGTTTTGAGAATTTTCTACAAATCTATTTCTCACAATGTTCCTTCCAGCTGTCCTCATCCCAGATTCTCATTCTCATCCCAAGTCCTCATCCCAGCTCCTGATCCCATCCTGGCCCATGAGTGATGCAGGGCCTCTCCTGAGCACCGGGAATTTGGCTGAAATCCCTTTTATAGCAGCACAGGCAGCTCTGTGATGACTCTGTGGTGGTTTCAGTGCCCAGATTCGTGTCTCTAAACCAGGAGATACATGGCAAATAACTCACAGGGCCTGGCTTGTTTAATCTCACTTTTAAGTGTTTAATTGTTTATTTTTATTTATTTATTTTTTTAAAAATTCCTTCTTCTCTACAACTTTGCATTTTAATTCCATTCCCCTGCCCACAAAACACAGCCAAAACCTCCAGACTCTCCAGCAGCCATTTCAGATCCAAGCTTTGAAGGAGGAATGGCTTCCCATTGATAGAGGGCAGGGTTAGAGTTAGATGGGGTATTGTGCAGGAATTGTTCCCAGTGAGGGTGGGCAGGCCCTGGCACAGAGTGTGCTGTGGCTGCCCCTGGATCCCTGGCAGTGTCCAAGGCCAGGCTGGACACTGGGACTTGGAACAGCCTGGGACAGTGGAAGGTGTCCCTGCCCATGGCAGGGGCTGGAATGGGATGAGCTTTAAATCCCTTCCAGCCCAAGCCATTTGATGATATTATTAAATTAATAAGATTGTTCCTTTTCACAATCATCTTTTCACGTTTTTGGGGGGTCCTGCCCTCCTTCCAAACCCCGTTCTATGTCAGGTGAGGAGGAGGATGGCGCTCTCGGGAGCAGCCTGGGCAGGCTCATCCTCAACCAGCGCCTTCCTCCTGCTGCCCAGCAGCTGACCAGACAAAGAGCTGTGCCTGAGACAAGCAGATTTTACTGGTGCAAGCTGCCAGCTTTGGAAACTGCAAAAATCTCCCCCAGGATGGAAGGATCAGAAACCTGCAGCTGCTGGAATTCCTCTGCTCTTTGATACGCTCTGCTTCCCAGTGCCTTTGCTCCCTGGGCTCCCAGCAGAGACCAAAGCAGCCGGACAGGCTGGTTCCCACTGAGGTAATACCAGGGTAACTGGAGGCTTCCAAACCTTTTTCCCTTGCCCTTTCCTGGCTTAGAGCCTAGAGGAAGACCAGTCAGTCTCCAGGCATGCAGCATGCCTGGGGTTTGGAGGAGTGCATGGGCTCAGGTGGATGCAGAAGGAATTAGGTGGCATTTTTGGGAACGGGCATCCAAAAAGTCTGGGCTTTGCAGGAGGAGCACTTCCTGTCCCTGGGACCAGCACAACCAGTTCAAAGGGAGCTATGTGACCACTAGGAAATGCTCGTCCTGCTGGGAATTGTCATAATGCCACAGATTAAATGAAGCAATCACTCACTGAAAGGAAAAAAAAAACAAGTGGAAGGGAACTGGAGAGGGTGGTGTTTTTATTTTAAGAGGGAAAGAATTATTAGGAGTCCAGAAAGATTGTGGAGCCCCTTCCAGTGCCTAAAGAGATTACAAGAGAGCTGGAGAGGGACTTATGACAAGGGCCTGGAGTGACAGAACACAGGGAATGGCTCCCACTGCCAGAGGGCAGGGATGGATGGGATATTGGGCAGGAATTGTTCCTTGGGAGGGTGGGCAGGCCCTGGCACAGGGTGCCCAGAGCAGCTGGGGCTGCCCCTGGATCCCTGGCAGTGTCCAAGGCCAGGATGGACACTGGGGCTTGGAGCAGCCTGGGACAGTGGGAGGTGTCCCTGCCCATGGGATAAGTTGATCTTTGAGGTTCCTTTCAACCCCAACCATTCTGTGATTCTGATTTGGTGTTTTCATTTTTATTGACAGTCAGCTTGTTAGAAAAGCAACATTTTACTATTGCATATAAGTTATCCATTCAAACCACACAGTTTTTTCCTGCTGTACCCCTTTTCCCCCCTCTTTCTAGAGCAGCAGGTTGCTCTCACTCCCAGCCCTGGTGTTTTGCCATCGTGGGTACAGCTGATGTGGTCAAGGCCACCACAATTTCCTGAACCCTGCCCTGAACAGCCTCTCGCCATCATTCAAGGTGAGGGTGTAGAGTGTGATGCTCCTTGTCCTGGGAGGCTGACCCTCAAATCCTCAATCCAAAATGTAAGGTTCATGGTCACCTTTCAGATGGGACTTAGGGCTCTGAAGGGAGGATGCCCTGTCTTGTTTGAATGACACGTGTGTCACATCATGACACATCAGAGGGCACCGAGCTGGGGTACAGGGGCAGCAACCCCCCGAGCTGTGTCTGAACATAGAGGAGATGTAATTTCTATGGTGACACAGCCTTGAGAGCACCTAATCTGGATTTATTGAGGTCGTAAGACTGACTTAGCACAGTGCTACCCAGACTGTAGGATAAATAGAAGACTTCTATTTATAAAGCTGCCAATCTGGCACTGCTTGTAAGCACTAAAAATAAGACTTTGTGCAAAGCGAGCTGAATTGATGGGTGCTCTCCTGGCATTGTCTGTGAAGCAGCCCCTGATCCTGTGGCACATTCAGTGCTTGGCAGGGATCCTGCAGAACTTATTTGAGCCACCACCTCTCTGTGTGGCTGAGCCTGGTTTTCACCCACGTGGGAGAGGTTCCTCCTTCCCCTTTGGGTGATCTCACTGTGTGCCCACGAACTCTGTGAGCTTGGGGCAGGAATTATGAGCTCTGGTGAGGCAGCTGGATGAGCAGAGCCTAGGGAAAAGGGAGCTGGTTGTGCTGGAGCTGCCCGGTGCACATTTCTGGTCCCCCCTAGTCGCATCCTTCTCTCCAAAGCAGGAGGATGTGTCAGACACCGGGGCTCACTCAGCAGCACAGACAACCCCAGGCACTGCAGTGACCCCAGGTACCCCAGGACAGTGGAGCTGGGTTAATTTGTGATCTGTTTAAGCTGCAGATAAAGCCACTGTGGATCTTCCCTCCTGGGAGTGAAGCGAGCCTCGCCTTCCAACTATACTGAGTTTAACACCAAGCATGATTTTTTCTTTAATATGTAATCTTATTGCTGTTTAACTCACCCATGTAAAATCTTAATTTTCCCCTGCCAGCCCACCTAGACCCCGCTCCCTGCTTGGGCTGTAATGGTGAGTGGCTCCAATATTTATTCTCTCCAATAGGGAAGCAGAAACCTGGATTTTATCATTAACACTGTTGTGTAAAAGATCTTAAAGCAGATACCTGCTGTTGTGATTTAACACCTGCATGGCTTCTCTTACAACGTTTCCCAAGGTTGAATTTATTTTCAGAGCCCTTCAGGCTCCCTTTTGCTGCTGTTTCGAGCTCCTGAGGTCTGTGACCATCCCTGTTGAATCTGCCTGCTCCACACATGGCTCTGCTGGCGGAAACAGAATCACAGAATATCTAGAGCTGGAAGGGACCCAGGAGGATCATCAGCTCCAATTCCTGATCCTGCAGAGGACACCTCGAGAATCCCATGGTGAGAGGTGCCAAAACTGGTCCTCACTGCTTTCCTCTCAGCAGAGCTGGCTGCAGGAGGCGACCCAAAGGAGAGGAGCAGCTTCTGCTTCATCAGCCACTGCCAGGAGCCCTGTGGCCACTTCAACGGGCTCCTGGGGCAGATGAGAGCACGGTGCCCATCCCATGGCTTGAGCTGGAACGGGGCATCAGACGTGACATGGAACTGCCTGATGTTGGTGCTCCCCTAAATTCTTTATCAGGTTTGTCGGGTTTTCCATTTGGCCTTTTCTGCCTGGGATTTCACTCGTTTTGGAGAGGGTAGATACCACACAGGGGAAAAGTCATTCTCAAGCCTCCTGACCCAAGGGAGACAACAAGAACTCACCTGATGGGGTCTGAAAAGGAGGAGGAGGAGCTACCCCCGAATGCTGGTTCACAGAGCATGGGGAGGCTCTGACTTGGAGGGGACCAGCAGGAACACACCTGCCTACGCCACGGTGCTGTGAGTGGTCACACCGAGCTAGACCACTCTAAATTCGAGACTGGGGATGAACTGCAGCCCTCCAAAGCTGCCTGCACAAGTTTGGAGCCTGGGGAGGGTGACAGTGAGTGCCAGGCAGGCAGGTGGCATCTTGGTGGCAATTGCACAGTTGGGCAGCCTTGGAGAAGAGAGCCAGAGGGCCAAGTCATTCCAGCACAGTGAGTGCAGTTAAGTGCTGCCATATGGCTCCTTTTGCAGAGGAAGAAGCCCACAGGGAGTGAGGAATCCCACTGCTTTTCCTTGAAAATGAACTTTCCATTTCTTCTGCAAGCGCTGGAAAAACTTGGTGGTGGCAGGAGTTGGCAATTTCAGATCCACAGGGAATGCAGGAATTCCTCATGGATATTCTCTCGCTGTTTGCTCTGCCTCAGCCACCCTTGAGGGCATTTCTAAGGGTGGAACACTGAGGTAGATCAGACAGGGGGGAAAAATCAGTCATGCGTGTTAAACCCCTGCCATACCAGCTGTGGAGAGAGGGGGAAGAGAAGATTGCTGCTGGCCAAAGAGTGCTTTGACCTGTTGGAAAACATTGTAGCCAGAAAAGCAGATTTCAGCAAATTGATTTCCTGCAGGGCTTTTGATAGAAGTCAGGAGGAGAGTAGGCAAATGTTTTCCAGCAAGGGCAGGAAAGAAAACAGTAGGATCTTCTGCTTCATTTGGTAAATCCATTGCTTTTGTCCCCAGCCTGCCTTAACCCT